TTCATCTACATTATCTTGACTCCTCGTCAGATACAAAGCAGCTAAATCGCGCCCCTTCATCACCAAAGCCTCCCTCCTGCTACTGACTTGTATTTGTGGTGACATCTTGTGATGGAGAGGCCCCGGTCGCGCTGTGGTGTGGACAGGCCGCTGAAGAGCAGGGACGCACGGGATGAATGGTCCGGCTGGTATTGTAATGGAAAGACAAAACTCCTCCCTTGCGCAGTGGAGAAGGAAGTAGGCCCAAAATATCGCTCCAGGGGAAGAATAAATAACCGTTTTCCCGGTTGAGCATTTATTCTGGGATTTTACACATTTACAGTCGAATTGAGGGGGATTGGAAATGAGGCGAATTCAAGATGGTGGATGGAATTTAGCCTAAAATGTCAGGTCCATGAAATTGCACGTGGGTTTCTAAGGTTCCTAAATATTCAAATCCCTTTTCACTTCCTATACTCCCACTGGCTTTGATTTGTAGAAATTAGATGGGCCTATTTGTTTACGATTCACAAATTTGTACGATCATTATGGAAACTCGCGAGACCAAGAATCTAGAGCGCATCAAATGTAGCCTAGCCTACTGGACTCTGCAACCAGAATACATGCCTATTATGGATTTTCTAATTAAGGTTTGGACCTCCAATGAATATGTAGAGTATGTATTAGCTTATACTTTTAAACAGCAATTTGTGCAAAGTCGCAGAACGCTCGCGAAATCGCATTCACCGGTTACTATAGCAACAGCGCCACTAGCGCAGTTATGGCTAGGCGTGCCACAAAACTGTTGCGAGAGATAGCTATTCCCCGAAAATTATTGAATTAAAATAATTGAATACTTCGCACATAGACTAGCCTACTCTATAACTAGGCCTACTAATAGGCTATTTCGCATTTTTTAAAATCATTCTAATATTTAGCTGACGAATTTCAGATTAATTTTTTTTGACTATTAGGCCTAAATTTTAGACTAAATGTAAAGCATACATCCTTCCATAAAAGCTCAGAATCTGCATGCAGTGCAGGTTTGAGACGGTGGGGATTGTATAGAATTCTCGCTCCCTCTCTAAAGTCTGGAAATAAATCAGACAGAAGTATGTGAAGGAAGTGATAAACCATCAGCTGACCGTGGCAGATATTGTTTAGAGTGCTCGGGGACATTTATTACAGTGTGGTTATGACCAATTTTGGGAAGCTACAGCAACTCAGCTGAATGTAAAGGGCGCTAATGGCTCTCAGTCCTCCGAATGTCAGCTTCACTGGTTTTCAAGGGCATCGTACTGATGGGGATTTGGTTAACGGGAGGGGAGGGGACCTTCGGTACGGCTCATGACGTCACCATGTCCCGATGTAATCCTCTCGCGCTTGAGTCCTATCAGCAGAGGAGAGCGAGCGCGCGGGGACGCGAGGAAGGAAGCACTAGTCTCTCCAGAAGGGATCAGCATAACCAAGACGCAAACGAGGCCATTTAACACTGCAGCAGAAGACGATTACTTCAGCGGTAAACGACAGGCGTGACCTCATTGCTCGTTGCGGGATGCAGGAGGGATACGGCGGCAGCTCAAAAGATGCTCGACGGAGAAAATGGAGCATCGTGTTTACGGGGGACTGTAGTGGTGTTTCAGTCATTTCGCATGTTTTGGCGGTGATATAATTTTGAATGAGGTTGGTTGGCAGCTTTTTGTAAAATAGTTGATTGTGTATTTTGAGATTTTAAAAGTGTTTTGTTTACACTTGATGTAGTCTAAGGGATGCACTACTGCAGAGGTCAGCAAAATGAGTGAGAATCATAACAATGCGCGCCCTTCGGACGAATGCTACCTTCTTCATTGCTTTCTGTCGTCTGCAATGCAATTCCTTGGTTTATTCGACACCGATTAATTCATGATATGCTATATTTGGGCATTGACATCCTTTTTGAATTCCTAACCGTACTGCCACCGAGGCACAAAAATTCCAGAGACTCAAAAGAAGGAGGACAATAGCCATGGCTGCTTGAATTGAGGCTGCAGAATCATATAGAGAGCAGCTCTTAATGGGATTGAATATAGGCCAATGGTTGGCCTGCTCTGTGTAATATGCTTTGGTATTTGACGGTGTTTCACGCGAAATTGAAATAGGAAACAATGTAGAAACACTATTGTGATTATTATTTTGACGTTTTGTCGTCAGCGTGTTGTCAAAGCGCATTACGACATCCCTCTTTGCGGTACTCTCTGAAGAGCAGCCTGCTCTGGTGTGCGCGCGTCATGGAGGGTGGTGACATGGGCCCCGCCACTCTGCGTGTTCACGGCGGACCTTGATTTAATATCCATACAATTAAGGCACGCGGTGAATGCCAAGAGAGGGGCCTTAAAACGGCAAACCTGTATCGTTTAGCAAAATGAGCAGCAGCATGAGGAATGCGCACGTCCAGAGTGAAGACTGCGCGGTGGTTCTCGTGAAGGCAAACAGCTGAACAGCTTGGTTTGCAGGCGCATGATAAGAATATTAATTTCGGGAGCTGACAGGAATGTGAAATTCCTCTTCTAATTCAAAGTATATTATTGTTTTATTTTGAACATCACTAAGTCTATTTCTACTAGTATATGAGGTCATTTTCATATAATAATAATAAAATTGATTTAAAGGGGTCATATGATGCTTTTTTAAAGATCATTATTTTGTGTATTTGGTGTAACAGAATATGTTGACATGCTTTAATGTTCAAAAAACACATTATTTTTCAAATACTGTACATTATTGTAGGTTCTCTATGCCCCGCCTCTCTCAAACGCTTCGTTTTCTACAAAGTCCCTCATTCCGACAAGCGCAGTCTGCTCTGATTGGCCAGCTGACCCAGTGCATTGTGATTGGCCGAACACCGCAAGCACTCGTCGGAAATGTAACGCCCCTTACCATAATCGCGAGCTTCATCTTTCAAAATAAATGTAAAGACAGTAAATAATGTCATTAGTTTTACCATCAGTTCAAGCCCGAAAGGGGAACAGACACAGTAATGATGCAGTACACAAGCCGCAGTTAAGACAGCAGACTCCACTGTGAGAGACACACACTCTCTCTCTCTCTCTCTCTCTCTCTTTAGTCTTTGCAACTTCAGGGATCTTATCTATGCACAATCAGCTTGTAACACTCCAAAGAGAAAGGAAAACTTGAAATCGCATCTTATGACCCCTTTAAGACTATTTAATAGATGACTATTTAATAGAGTCCCACGATTTAATCAAGCCATGCAGTGTAAACAACATGAAGAATGATGGGAATTGCTAATATAGACATTACACTGCTTGAAGGAACCTTGAGCACAAACATTTAAAATGTCAGCTATATATTAATGGTTTCTGTGTACAAAAGAAATCTGGTTCCCATTGCAACACAGAAAACACAGAAAAACCCCAAGACAGATGATGGAGGTCAATAGTCTATCCTGAAAAGAATGGCATTACCTGCATCATCATGTTTTGTGAACAGTGTTTGGTCATGTATTGGTAATAGTCTTTGATTTCTAATGGAGTGTACACTTGTATAAATACTGCATTCAACTGAAATATATGGATTTATTTAGATTTAAAAAAAAAGGCAAGATAAAGTCAGGACATTATTGTGTAACATTTAGAATAGGACTTACTGTTTTCAAATATTGTGTTCAACACAGCATCTTCTACCAAGACCTGTCACTTCCTTCCACTTCCTTTGTTTACCTGTCAATAAACCCGTACTTCATGCAAATCTGGTTCATGTCTAGAAATCTTGCTTCAAGGTTTTTTTTCCGGGCAGAACTCTTCTTTCTGTTTACTAGATGTGACAGATGAGTTGAACAAGATGGCAGCCAATCAATTCAGATGGCGCTGTACTCAGAGATTCGACTCTCATACAAGTGATAGCATTTTATTTTGAGCTGTTTCAGTAATAAATTCAACTTCTACGTTAATATTATTTATATGACCTTTAGGAAATCATATTGCTGTTTATATGTGCCAAACATGCCAAAGACCTCTACGTTTGACCACCATGTGCTGAAGTAACTACTTTCATTGGCTGTTAATTTTAATTACTGATGTTCCATCTCAGCAGTCTAAGCAAATGGCAGGTGTGCACAGAAATAAAATGGGCTACCATCTTCACACTATACAACCTTTACTGCATAAGGCTTATAGCACGATGCTTGTAGATAAAGAATGCTTGTTCTCTTCAACTCAATGAATGTTTATGAAAAGTTGGAGTGCATAAAATATTCTTTGCACTAGTATCTGCAAATTTAAAAATGACCGTTAACACATCTTTAGAAATGTGATTATAGGTTAGATTAACTATTTAACCCTTTCAGAATTTAGGCAAAACAAACATTTATGAAGCATTGGTGATTATATTGAGATGAGAGAATTACAGTATTTCCACAGTTGTTATAATTAGCTCTACTTCAAAGCTTATTTTACAATTTTCAGAAGTGACAGTGACATAAATACGTGTCCTGTATTATTTTGAGACTCAAAAAAATAACACAAATAACAAATATACATCCATCATGTCTTAAAATTAAACATGTTTATCCTATGTGCTCATCAAAGGTGATTTCTTAAAATCAAATCCTTTCAGGTGGGTGCGAGTAGGTTAAAAAGTGATACAAAACTCTGTTTTGGGCACCTCTGTGCAAAAACAATTAGTAGAGTAACAACACAGACAGTATTCCCAACAAAACAACTTCAAACAACAATTACACCATATAGTATTATTTTAATAATGAGCATGATCAAATCTAAGAATGTGATAGATAGTGACCTTCCAATACAATGCATATTCATTTCAGGGGTGACTTAAATGTTTGTCTTGTAACTTTTTTTTTGTAATATTTTTAGTATTTCATATATTTTCATGAATCTTTTGTTATATGACTATAGAAATCTGAAACCCTCACACGGTTCAATTCTGCTCTCCCACACACAAACACACAAAACAGCAAGCAGGTCCTAAAAAAAAAAATCACGCACAGAAACCATATACTCTTTTTTGTTTGTTTTCTTACTTTTAACAGTAATTTAGTAACATTCATTTTCAGGTTACACATTTGAGGCGTTCTTCGTTATTGTTATAATTATATGATCCTACGTTAAAGCTTAGCAATATACTGAGGACATGGGGGAGGAAAAAAGCGATAAAATGAAATCTGAAATAAGAAAGGACAAAGAACAAAAAAAAGGTGATGTATCTAAAGTGATTTCAAATAAAAAGCAATGAATTGCTACATCTCTCAGATTGGCTTAAAGAAACCGCGACCTCTGCTGGGCGGGGTTGGAACAATAAGTAGTTACATTTCTGCTCTTTAAACATTAAGTGTGTATGTGAACAGAGTCTGAGCACTAGGATCTGAACCGCAATGAAAACATTACTTTTACTTTCCTTTTTTTTGTGTTTGTTTTGTTTTTAGTCCAGCCAGTGACAATGTTGACTTCCCTTGGTTAAGGATGCATGGGATGTCGTCTCCCTGATAACGCTGTTTCAATTGAGGTATAGAACAGCCATTATTAAACGGTTTCCGTAGCTTTAAAATGTTAAGGCTCCAAGCAGGAAAAACAGAAAAGAAAAAACAAAACCTGTGACATAAGTGGCTTGTCACTGAACAAAATGTCAAGTGTTACATAATTCAAAAATATTATTATTTTTTTTTTTTATAACATTATCTTGTCAAGACATGTCATCGTCCCTTCTATGCAGTTGCACGATTCTCCACAAATGGGTTCAAACCACTCTGGATCTACAGAACATAAAACTGGCCCATTACAGTTACTGATGCTGGAGATGTCCCCCAAAACCAGATCGAATCTGAACACCCCCCACTCCCTTACCTCTGCCATATCACATGACTAACATACACCACCATCATCCCTCCTGATACACACACATACATACATCACAGAATTCACTACCCACTCATTTAACCAACTCTGAAGGGCATGATGAGGAGCAGTGGGGCTGAAGAAACAAAAATATAGGACGAAATAAAAGACTTGTGCAGATATCAGTTGGTCAAAGGGGGGAGGGAGGTGTATGAAAACAATACCAAACGACAGAAAAGAAGAGAGAGAAAAAAAAGAAATCAAAATGAGGACGCCACGTTGAGAGGTGCTAATCGACTTCAGCCCCCACAGGTGAAGCCGGAGGCGCAGAGGCTCGAGTCTGATGCTGGCTGAAGTCACCAGAATTAAATAGAAAAACATAATGATTGTTTATTTTTTTATATTTCATCTTGTGTCCTCTTTAAATTTAATTTTCAAATGGTCAGTCCTAAAACAACTGCTCATCATATGTAGGGGGCAGCCTTCTATTGTTTATTTCGGTTCTGGCGTTCCTGTGAGAGAAAGAGAGAGAGAGAAATTAAGGCAAAGTTACTTTGATGTACACAAAAACCAAAAACTATTTTCATTTCAAAATACTACCACTGCAGTCCAAGAATAAAAAGGCATTATTTTGTACTACTTTTAAATTCTCACACACAAGCCAGGGTTACCACAACTTTTCACCAATGAATTTCCTTTACTTGTACAGTTATTCATAATTTGGATCTTTAAAAACATTTACACTCATAAGGTGTGACTGATTTATTTAATCAGGTGTTTCATGTCAGGCCAGATTCTAAGGCAATTTTCATGCCAAGAACAGGGCAGTACATTGTAAAAATGATTTTTCAAAGTTGTAAATAAAACAAAGATTACTAGAGTGTTCAACAAGAAAATATTATTTCAGTCTTTCTACTTCAAAATTTCATGTTTAATTCAATGTGTTACTTCCAGTTTCTTTGTAATTATTTGTGAAATTTACTAGCAATTTCTGAGTGAAAATTGTTTCACTTCAATAATTTTTTTCAGTGTATCAGTTAAATAAAAATAGTAAAACCATTAATAAACATATGGATAATTTACATACAGAAAGATAAAATCTATATTAGATTTTAGGTGAATTGTCAATAGGGCTGTCGCGATTCGTAGATTTTATTAGACTACTAAATTTAAAAAAATCCTCGACTTCATTTTGCTCGCGTCGACTAACCGGCAAAATACCGGAAGTGGCGCATTTCACAGACGAGAATCCATAAAACACATTATTAGACTGTTTCCCAAGGCTGCATGATATATTAAACCCATTTAAAAATCATAATTAAGCATTCACATAATTGTGAATTCACAAACGCTACGATTTAATTAAATAATTAGATGCGATGCAGTTCTAATACAGTATATGCGCTTTAATTATTTACATGCGTGTAGGTTAAGTACGTGTGTCACACAGCGGCTCCGTTCACAGTAGTTCCACAGGAACTGTTATCATTTACATGTGTGGAGCGTCTCAAACTCCCATCTCTGCATGTTGTTGTGAGTTTGGGTTTATTATAACATTCATCTGGGAACGCAACGTGCGCCATTTCATCAGATTTGTAAGGTAAATCATTTATAAATCTACGCAAACACAGGAGAATACATCGCGGTTTCAAAATAAAAGCTCAAACCCTCACTCTGAGTTTACACGTTTTGATGTCTACATATTCTTTTAATTACAGTGGCTGTAGCATTTCTGTCCTATAGAAATGGCCAAATATGAAAGATTAAGTGGACATTTGAATTAAATTGTACTTGGTCAATATTAAACAAGTATTAGATCGCACAGCAATGTGTAAAAACAATCGTCAGGCCGTTGGTGCCCTCTGCAGGTCTTTGTTGTAATGCGTAATGTACATTAGCTCTATTGTTTAGAATACATTAATAAAACCATTAAATAAAACCATATGATTTCTTGCTTTTGATACTTTATTTGACCCAATTATTATTGCCTCATTGCTATTATATATGTATTTTAAGTAATTTTAAAGGCTATTGTTCACTTACATCTATTTTTATTACCACAAAATTTTTTTTATAATTATAGGGCCCTATGAAATCGGTTTTATTTCCAAATTCAGTTTTTTCCATTTTCATTTTTCTATACTCTGTTTTAATGGTTAAATTAAATTGTATTAATCAAAAAGCCTGTCTAATTAATTGAGTTTTACAGTTTTATCTTTACCAAATTCTGTTTTCCATTATTTTCTGGATTCCATTTTAATGGTTCCATTAAATTTTAATTATTATTGCCTCATTGCTATTATATATGTATTTTAAGTAATTTTAAAGGCTATTGTTCACTTACATCTATTTTTATTACCACAAAAAAATTTATTATAATTGTAGGGCCCTATGAAATCCGTTTTATTCCAAATTCAGTTTTTTTTCCATTTTCATTTTTCTATACTCTTTTTTTTTTTAATGGTTAAATTACATTTTATTAATCCAAAAGCCTAATTAATTGAGTTTTACAGTTTTATCTTTACCAAATTCTGTTTTCCATTATTTTCTGGATTCCATTTTAATGGTTCCATTACATTTTAATAATCAAAAGCATCTCCAATTAATTGTTTTTTTTTTTGTTTGTTTTTTAAGAAACTGCACATTTTCATTTTTCTCCTAAATAAATTCTGGTAAATAACATTTCTGGTAAATACTCCTTTAAAAAGGGTTTTTTGATTATAATGGTATTATTAGTAGACTAGAACACGTGGATATGTTGTCATTCTTACACTATAATACTGAACTTTGATTTCAGTGATTTGGACTATGAGATGGACACTTGCTTCTTGCACTCTATGTTGCACTTTACTTTTGCTTTAAAAAAAGGATTTCATAGAAATTTGGATTTCATTTGGTTTAATAAAATATAGTTTAATAAAATATTCTTAAGTAAAATAGTTGATTTTTTTGGCGAAAAATTAATCGTTTAGATTAATCGATAAATTAGTCGATAGATTAATCGAAATAAAAATAG